AGCCATGCACAACCATCTCAAAGACTCATAATTTATAATTAACATGGCTTCTTCATCAATAGTATTCCCCTTATTGGCTTCCGTAATCTTCGGCCTCGTTTTCTTCGCTGCACCATCTTCTTCTTCGATCACATGCAGCGACGTGATCAAGGATCTGAGGCCGTGCATCAACTACCTCAGGGGCGGCAGTGGGGCGGCACCACCGCCTTCACCTTGCTGTGCCGGAGCATCGAACCTTGCCACGTCAGCAACCACCACAGCCGACAAACAAACAGCTTGTGCATGCCTAAAAAATGCTGCAAAGAATATTAATCTCAATCCTGATCTTGCTAAAGCTCTTCCGTCGAAATGTGGCATCTCTTTGTCGTTCCAAATCTCGCCCACCGTTGATTGCTCCAAGTAATTATTATATGCTTCTTTTTTTTGTTTCAAACATATTTGCAGATTGAGTAAATTTTTTTGTTAGTGATTTATCTTTAATATCTCGCGATTTTTTGCAGGATCGGTTAAGTCGGTCGTTAATTATGAACCGTTGAAGCCCATTGGATCGTTTATGATTCGAATGAGCTTATGTTTCATATGGAGTTTATGTTATATGTATTATGGTTTTGTGTTTGTTGTTGAATAAAATTTTACTTCTCTTCTATGGAGAAGGCTTGTTCAATGAGAGATTTATTTATGTTTCTTGTCATTTTTTTTTTCTGAATTGCCATTATACTGCTATATATTGTATCAAGACATTAATACTAAATATATCAAATAAGCTTGTAGAGAGTTTGTTGATAAAATAAAAGTATAATTAGGGGTGTAAATCGGACAAATCGGATCGGAATCAGCCCTTTCAAAAAAATTCTGTTTTTTTTCGGAAGTGAAAAATTAGTTCCAATTCCGTTCCCAAAAAATCGGAAATTGGAACGAAAAACCTTGTTCCAAAATCGGAAAAATTTCGAATCAGAATCGGCGGAATTATGAATTTTCCAATTTTTACTCACCTTAAATATAATTGGTATTTTAGTTGTAATATTCGGGAAAAAAATGAAATTTTTTCGGAACTTTAATCGGATCAGAAATCGGAAACTCATATATATGTCAATTTCAATCCAAATAATTTCAGAAAAATCGACGGTCATAATTTCAGAACTCGGATTGAAAAATATTGTTTCAAAATCAGAAAATTTCGAAATCAGAATCGGCGGAAATCGAAAATTCCGTTCCAATTTCCACCCTTAGTCTGTAATGTTAAGAAAACTGCACAAAATATCTTTTAATTGTTGAAAATTATTTATGATTTTATATTATATTTAAGGTTAAATTAAAAACATCACTGAGGTATGGTCAAATTACAAAAAAAAAAAAAAAATCTGTCATGTTTGGATAATTACAGCTATCCCTCAACTATCAATCATCTTACACGTTCACCCTTATGGTGTCAAATTCAACATAATATTTCTAGTTTACATGGAATGTTCTCTAGTTTGTACTCATTTTGTACAAAAATGCAGTTTCTGATGCACCACAATTTAATATATACAAGCCAAAAAAGACATCTTATGGTCATCTAATTTGCTTCAAAATGTGGAGCTCGAATAAGATAAAACGGGTACAAAATTGAGATTATTGCATATAATCTAAAAGATTTCACTAAATTTGAAACCGCAAGGGTAGACGTATAAGAAGATATATAGTTGAGGTAATTACCCAAAAATGAGGGGGGTTTCGTAATTTAACCATACATCAGGTTGTTGATTGTAATTTACCCTATATACTCTCTGTTCTATCGTCTCCGAGGATAAGATAAACCCAAAAGAAATCAAACACAGCACTCACTCTGAAAACCCGCCACCATGTCACTCTCCGTCTCCGCCACAATTCCCACCGCCAAGCCCTTCTCCTCCTCCGCCACCACCTCCGCCGCTCCCTCCTCCTCCTTCCTCCTCCGTCTCCCAATCAAGCGTCTCTCCGCCCTCTCCCTCAATGCCACCTCCTCCAAGCCCTCCGCCCCCATCTCCGCCTCAATGGAGGCCGGAATCGGCGTAATGGCCACAAAATTAGGTATGATGTCGTTCTTCGATCCCTCCGGCGTAGTAATCCCCGTCACCGTCGTCGGATTCCGGGAGGGCAACATCGTCACTCAGATTAAGACCGAAGCCACCGACGGATACGACGCCGTTCAGGTTGGGTACCGGAGAATTCGAGACCGGAAGCTGACGAAACCGGAGATGGGACACTTGGAGAAATCCGGGATTATTCCACTGCGGCACTTGCAGGAGTTCAGACTGCAGTCGATTGAAGGGTTTCAGCCGAATCAACGGCTGTCGGTGGAGGAGCTGTTTAAGGAAGGGGATTTGGTTGATGTTTCCGGCACCACCATCGGAAAGGGTTTCCAAGGTATCTAATTATCATCAATTACCATCAATTATCAATTCGTTTTACGATAAATGTGGATAAGGATAAGGGTGTAAATGAATTGAGTCGAGGCGAACACGCGATTATTCAAACTTGTTTTGAATTTTTATCGAGTTTCAATAATTGTGTTCGAGCTTAGTTTGGTTAGCAATCAAACAAGATTGATGAACGGGCTTTAATCGAGCTCGAGTGAAACTTTCATATCTTATCGAATGACATTTTTGAGTTAGGGTGTTGAAATTGGAAATGGTGCAATACATGGAAACAAATTCTTGAATCTATACGAGTACGAGTTTCATATGTACATGTGCGATTGGTGTGTATTAACTAAAATGCACTAATTAAACGCATAAAGTCCTTATTAGATTGACGAATTTGACGCTAAGGATTTCAAATCCACTGAGTTTGTTTGATTGAATTCATTTTTTAAACGGATTTCAAATCACATCCTATTAGTTTGAACTATTTGTGTGTCATTATGGTTAATTTGAAAAAGAATAGCTCGGTTAATTTATTTTGGTTAAGAGTGGATATCGAAAGCTCATGGTCACGTTTTAACTTTTAACGACAGGTGGTATTAAGAGACATAACTTCAGGCGGGGGCCGATGAGTCACGGGTCGAAAAGTCACAGGCAACTCGGATCAATTGGTGCCGGTACAACACCTGGACGTGTTTACCCGGGGAAAAAAATGCCTGGGAGAATGGGAGGAACAAAGACCAAGATCCGAAAGCTCAAGATTATTAAGATCGACACTGACCTAAACATTGTAATGATCAATGGTGCTTTACCTGGTAAGCCTGGAAATCTTCTTCGTATTACTCCGGCTAAGATTGTCGGCAAGAACATACCCAAAAGTTGATGACTCAACTCTTTTGTAATTTTTTTTTTTCCTTCATTTCTGGACTGTGTGGTGACTTTTTGTAGTTTTGTTTTCAACTAGTGGTATTTCAATTCATATTCCTTGGTTGAAATGCATCAATTTTTTGGATCAAATTGTTCACTATTTTGGCCAAAGATTGTCTTCACTGTACCCAAAAAACTAGTCGGAAAGAGAAGACCCATTTGTAGGTAAAAAATATTGTAGAAATATATAGAAAATTGTCATCAACTTGTTGATATTTCTAACACTACCCCAAAACCTCTCTACTATACCCAAAAACATTTACTGAGTTATTTTCAAAACATTTAATTTGTAAACATATCACACAAACTTGGTTAAAATTGCACGATCGACCTTGATGTGTTTAACACGGAGTGCTTTTCATTCGGCACCCTCATTTCAAATGCTTTTCATTTAACTTTAAAAGTTCATCACAAAATTCAACTAAACACTGTTGAGCATTTCATGTTATTAAATACAAATTTGGAATTAACACATTTTCATCATCACATTTTACTTTCATCCAAGAAAAGACATGAACCTAGTTTATAGGTCGGATTTGAATTGACTATAAGAAAAAAAAATGGTTGAGTCGAGAACAAAAAAAATGTAAATTCATCATTTAAATCATAATCGTTCGATAATAACTCAAATCCTATGAAGGTAAATTGTTAAAAATCGAAATCAAGAGAATACAAGTTTTGCTACTAAAAATAAATCCAGCTTGCAACACTATATAGTATATACCACCCTTCCTATGGAGACTTTTGCTACAGTAAATTACAACAACGCTATACATCAAGGAATAGAAAATGCTATTTCTTCTGCTGCTGCTTGTGTGGACTGAGTTAATCAATTTTTTCATCATGTGGGGCTGTATCGTAAGTGTTTCTCGTAAAAGTCTATCAGCTGTAAAATAATCAGGAAACAAAATGGTAAGACATTGATAGATTTTAAATATATACATTGCAACTCATTAAGTCATGTGGTTAATGGTTCAAAAATCATTTAAAAAAAGAAACCGAAAGCATGAAGAATGAAAACACTTACCAAAAGTGGATTGTTAGCTTTCAAAAACTTGTTATCCACTGTAACTTTGGTTCCATCAGACCTGCATCCACCAGCCAATACGAAATTCACATCACCACGACAAAAGAAATAATTATATTTATGATACGTGCAATAATCATCTAGCTAAAATCACGGCGGAATTAGAAACAAATGCTGAATCAATTACAAAAAGGAAAAGGACTAGACTTTTGAGGTTTCAATTGTTTCTGATTCAATGTTAATCATCGGGTTTTCTGGTATAATGTCCTATTTACAAAACTCCATCAGTACTAAGGTGTCAAAAGTAGACTTGAAAACAAATAGGCTTACTTATGAAAAATCGTAATTTTTGGACCTACTACACTATTCTAGACATTTTTTTATTAAAAACTAGTAAGCCGTCGTAAGCAACCAAATACTAAGCATGTGCATATAGATACCGAAAGGCCATTCGTTGTATCCTTGACACCGAAGCATGAACCAACACATACTAGTGTGTGGACAATATATGTATGAGCAAAACGACGAAATTCAAGAAAATTCCTACTGCATGTCAATTTACTGTGTCAAAATTCAAATTAACTCAGACGCACAATAGAAGCTAAAGCCTGCAACTAAACGTTACTATTTCACAAAATTAGTAGTTTGCCTGCCCTGCGATTAATTTCGTTAGCTCCTGTGATTAATTGTTTTTTTTAGGTAGTGACTAAACAGGAAGAAAAGACAACTATATCCCAAAAGAAATCAATTTAGGATATAATTATAGTTCAATTAGAGATGTTATCTATTAATCACATTTAATACCAGAGTTAAAAACTTTAATAGTAAATCTAATACAAGGAACCAAACAGCTTACTAACTAATCAACTAGTTAATTGGAATTAATCTAATCCAAATTAATTCGGTCCATGTAACCAAACAAGGCCTGGGTTTTAAACTTAGAAATTCACTCATAGCCTTGTTCAGCTAACCAGACTTTATCTTCTCTTGGTGTTTGAACAGTGAACAATACCCAAAAAGAGAAAACAAACCCAAATACTTCAGAATTGCACAAAACTGACATAATTTAATTATCTGTGAAAATGTCGTCATATGCAAACCAGGAGAAAAGATCATATGCTAAGATACGGTGTTCTACATGCATCATAACAGTATGTCAAATCTTTCAAACGGTTTACAATTTTTTTTTCTTTTCAAGCCATTCACTTTGTCCACCACGAAATCAACTTCTAGCAATTTATGCTCAATATTGAATTTCAGTTTCGTATTATTAGTTTATCCTGTCCAGAGACATTTGATTTTAATTAAATACCATAGACAACAATGAGATTTTACTTACATTGCAATAACATTTTTCATGTAAAAGGAAATTAAAGATATGAAATTAATTATGACTTCACAAGATTATCATCTTCGGTGAAAAGATGTTTTCTTTTTTTTCCAATTTAAAGCATATCCAGACTAAGAGATCTAACAGACATGAAAACCTCAGATTCGGACTCGGAGAATTCATAAAAAAATAATCAAAAGACGGAAAGTAAAAGCTGTGGTATTGGATTTAGAAATACAAACCTCACAGCCTCGAAGGCTACCAAGACCTCCTGGACATTGCTTGATAAGGAAGCTCTATAGCTTATAGGCTTCACGATTTGGGTGATGGTGCACACGGGTTTCGGATCCTCCAACTTATTCTTGCAATTCGTATTATTACCAAGAAAATCCGGACATTGAACACTTGTAGTAGGCACAACCGAAGCACCTGCCAAATCTCCATTCAGTGCATCATTCACAGAGCACGATGCTGGATCTTTCTTGAATCGCTTAACACAACCAGATTTCCTCTTCTTAGCTCCGATACAACGACCTAATTGGGCGGGGGCCACCGCCCCCTCAGGATTTTTTACTCCATTTGCAATTGAATCTCCTTCCGTCATTTTGCCTTCTTGGGAGGCAATCGCCAGCCTGTCAGCATCTTTGTTGCTAATCACCATTGCACCCCTTAATTCACAGAGCCTCAAATCTGAGTCGCTTTGCTCCTTTTCTTCCTCTCTTATGACAGAAACTGTTCTTGCACCATTCTCATTTGCTTTAACGGAGGTTCCTATGTTGTTCACGCCCATTGACATTTATATCCCCATTCCCATTGACAGCTGGAGTCGTTTGTCCTCGGAAAGGATACAGGCTCCTTGGTGGTCCTGATCACGTGCGAGGGCACGTTATAAGTTGCAACCACAGGAGATCTTGGGTGCGGGTGTGGCTGCAGGTGCGGCTTTTTTTTAGTCTGAACGTGAATTACACCACCCTTGCGTTTTTTTTTGGGTGTGGGCCTACCTTTTCCGGATTTAAGGCTACAATCAGACAAAAACCCCGAGATAATTCAACCCCAGAAAAAGGTGAAACGGGATAAACGTGAGTTAATTTTTGGGGATTACATAACCATCACCCTAATTATTTGATTCGCAAACATATTAGCATTTAAAAGACTACAACTTTATGATAATTTTAAAAAAAAAAAAAAAAAAAAAAAAAAGAGAGAGAAAACCTTTTTTCGAATGCATCGATAATATCCGAACACTGCAACAGATTCTCCACAGGCTCCCAAGTATTAGCCGCCTCGGACCAACCTCGCCTTTTCAAAAAACAGCCAGTACATTAATCAGCACAAAAAAAAAAAAAAAAAAAAAAATTATCCACCTCATTTCAAAGGCAATTCAATTTTCCAGACAACACATACAGAAACACTCATATCAAATTACTCACCATTTTATGAGATACTGCACTTTACCCTTTTAATTTTGCAGCAATCCAAAATCATCCCCAAAAAACAGCAAAAAGGCAAAAAATCAGTCAGGCAAGTACACTTCAGTAAAATCCTCAATTATACACAAATCTCGTCAGAAGAAATTGAAGAAAACAAAATCAAAATAAAAAATTCACCTTTCGAACGCGTTTTCTGCGTACGGCCTCAATTTCATAGTATCCATCAGCAAGCTTCGTCCTCTCTCCCTCAGCCTCCACCGGTGCGTTGTCCGTCTGCTCGTAGTCCTTCTCAGCATCGGAATCATCCTCTTCTCCGTCTTCCTCCTCAAAACCCTCCTCCGCGGCTTCGAATTTCTCACTCCCCTCGGGATTTAGGCGCCGTTCCTCCTCCGCCACAACGCCGCCGTAATTCACAGACACCACGGCAGTGGTGGCGTCGGAAGGCGGAGGTCCGGAGGGTTGTACGGGGTCCGTAAAATTCCTCTTTTTCAGTCCTTTCATTTTCTCTCTC